CCACTTAGCTGAGACTTTGCCATGCTGATGACTACAGGAAAAAAATCTGGAAGACTTTTGTGCAGTGCTGAGGATATTTAGATATTTAGATTTCTTCTCTTCAAAACAGATTTATGAGGCTAATTGTGCTCTTTCTGGATTCTTCTGAGCTGCACTGCAACTACTTGGATGCTCCTGCTCCTGGTCTCCATAATGAACAAAGGCTGATTTTAATCAGAGGTATAATGTGCTCTGCTACAGAGAAAATGTGGCTTCACTAGGAATAGATCAGCAAGGTTCTTTTCTTTAGTGCTAGTGCCACGAGGTAAGATGGGTTAAGATGATTTTTTTTCCAGTCATAGGTGGTTGAACTTTCAAAACATGAGCAGTAAATATGATTTATGAAGGTGCTCCCCCTTGGAGAAAATTAAATAATAGAACCCGTGTTCCCTAAACAATTATTCCATAGTTCAGTTCCCAAAGTAAGTCTGCATTCTATCTGATTTTATAAACACTTACAGACTATCCAAACATGATTCTACAATTTATTTTGCATCATCAGTGCCTGCATCTCTTTAGAACAATATGTGGCTACCATGCCAACCTTAAAGGTTGCAAATTTAGGTAGGGAGGTTTGCTTACTTTGAAATTTACATCTTTTTGGTTACTCTGATTTTTCGCAACTTTTCCATAAAATCATTGCAAATATGAAATGTCAAAGGGAATTACAGTAGATGCTAACAAACTCTACATGTTAATATGTAAAGTCTAGTACTTACCACAAGGGTGGTTATTATCAACATTTACTTTTTAATATAGTACTAATAAGGTAAAAGTCTGAGAGTGAGACTTAAGATCTATTTCCAGTTCTGGCCATTAATAGTGACATACCTCTAGAAGAGTCTCTTTTTATTTTTTATATGGCTGTTTTTCACTGGTGGTAACAGAATATTAATCTAGATCCAGTTGTTCAGTCAACACACAATCACTGAGTGCATATTATGTTCAAGGCCTCCTGACAGACGTGGTATGCAGGGCTGCAAGTGCTCCAAAGCCAGTCCTTGCTCACTAGGCATTTCCCCTACTGTGTGAACTTCTCCCCTTTACCCATATTTCAGTTTGAGGTTTTCAACTATCTAGACATTATCTTGAACTCAAGCTGTTTAAAAATAGATTCATTCACTTCTTAATAAAATTTGTTTTCATTTTTTTGTATACATATATGTCTTTGGCAAGGAATACCCAATTACCTATTAATCTGGTACAGAAATTTCGGAATATGTCTGACCCTTCCTACACTGTCATTTTTCATTTCCACAGTTCCACCAAAGATTCATCTAAGAGTATTCTAGATACATCTTTCTTTTATTCATAGAATAGAGTATAATCTCATAAGCAGTAGATTGTGGCTCCTGTTTGCCTAGTTTTCAGACACTCCTTTCTCCATTCCAATATGTGTGTAATTTGTTAAACTAAATCTCATGAAACAACCAACAATGTCTTCTCAATGCCCATATGTAATGTCCAGACTCTTTTGATTAGCTTTTAAAGTCTCTTATCCTTTCCCCTTCTACCTTCCCAGTATCGGATTTGCCTACTTACCAGCACTTACAGTTAAGTCTACCCTTGCTTGAGTGACTTTCTGCTTAAAGTGATATTTCTTGTTCTCATATTGATAGGTAACTCATTTTTTGAGACTCAGCTCAACATCATCTATTTTTGAATGGCAATTAAGTTTATCTATTCCAGATTGCTTGGTAGATTATTTATTCCTAATTATTTCATATATGTGACCTACTAGTTTTTATAGTAGTCTTATGCTGATATTTCCCATAAATTTAGCATGATACAGACACATATGGTGTATCACATTAATACTTGTGGCTTGATTGACCCACATGCATGCTATGACAAAAGAAAAAAAATTCCAGTACACTAAAAAACATTCACAGAGATAACTAAATTAGATTTAATGAATGAGACAAGATTTATGAGTCATGGTCTCTGATCTCAAAAAGGCCTTATTATTAACATTATCTTACAAATGTATATAGAATTCTGAATGGTCCGCCTAAAGGTAAATTCAGTGTATATTTACATTATTAGCAACATATTTTCACAACGCATTCTTACTGGCCCATCTATTCTTTCTTTTGATTCCCTTCCCACCAACACCCAATGGTCTTTCCTTTTTCTCAACTACATCTTCACCTCTCCAAAGATAGGACAAATTTGGAAAAATAATTTGTCTTGACATCAAGGTCTCATTCAGGCTAGATTTTTCTTTTTCCCATTCTATGACCTTCTGATGCCTTGACATAAAGGGAGTAGAGAACTTAGTGTAAACCTTACAATAAGATATATATTAAAGTGTGAGATACAGAAAGAAAAGATCAAATAGTGGCACTGAGGAAATATGATTTTTTTTTAAACTCTATTACAGTCCATTTAGATAATTAAGGACTTCTGATGCTGAACTGCTCTAAAAGCAGAGAGATAGGACATTATTATGATTTGAATAATAAAGAGAGGACATTATGGTCCACCTCATGTTAGGCAGGGCAGGAATGTCTGGAGGTAAAGTAATTAGATTATGAGTGCTGTAACCTAGTCAGGGGATTTGTAATTTGGTGGATTTGTGATTTAAATCAATTAGTGGGTAGTAACTGTAGGCAGGTGGGGCATGACTAGAGGAAGTAGGCCACTGGGTATACCACTGGGGATTATATTTTTTCCTGGAGTTTCTCTTTCTCTCTGTCTTTCCGTCTTTCCATCTGTCTCTCTGTCTTTCCATCTGTCTTTCTCTCTCTCTCTCTCTGTCCCCCTCTCTCTGTCCCTCTCTCTCTCCCTCTCCCTCTCCCTTTCTCTCTCCCTCTCCCTCACTCTTTCTCTTTCCTGGCTGCCAGGAGCTAAGCAGCTAGCTCTCCTCTGCCATGTCCTTCCACCATGATGTTCTGCCTCATCTCAGGCTCAGAGCAACTGAGTCAACTGACCATGGACTGAATCTCTGAAACCATGAGCCCCAAATAAAACTTTTCTCCTCTCAGTTGTTCTTGTCAGGTATTTTGGTCAAAGGGATGTCATACAATGCAGACTAACATATAGGACTAGATGGGAGAAGAAACAGGTTTTTCTTTTATGTGAGAAATAAAATAAAATGGAATGAAATTGTCCAAATTATATATGAATATACCACAGTGAATTCCACCTTCATGTATATATAAAGCACCAATAAAAAAACAATAAATAAATAGAAGGAAGACTAATAGAGTAGAGAAAAGGAAAAAGGAAGCAGGAGGTGGGAAGGGAAAAATAAGGAAGTACTAGGGGCTGAGGTGGAGCAGATTATACTCCATGCATGCGTGATTACGTCACAACAAACACCATTATTATGTATAACTATAATGTGCTAATAAAAGCATCTGAAATAAAAATAAAATAGGACAAAATATAAAATAAAATAATAAAGAAGAGAATTTCATAAAGTATTTTAACAATATTTGACCATCCTTTAAAAAGATGCTTCATTTTAAGTAGGTGGTTTTAATCTCTAGAGTTTGCTATTTCCTATATTCCTCTTTAAAATTTATGTATCTATTAGCCATTAATGAAAATTAATTTCATAAGCGTTATGTAAACTTTACATTTTTAAAGAAAAACTCACTGCAGTTTATTGTTACTATGCACACAGAGAAACCTGACTTGTCATCTATTCACCATTATTCTCCCACAAATGAACCTCTCTGAACTGCAAGTGTAATTATAAAAGAATAAAATTGGTGTCTAGTGCCTAAAACAATATTTTACCTGTTTAGCCTTAAAAACTTGGTGGGGGGTGATGGAAGTGAAGAGTATAGGATAGATGGATGGAGGATTTAAAAACCCATCATATTATTAGATTTCTTTCTTTTCTTTGTTTTTTTTTTTTAGTTGTAGTTGGGCACAATACCTTTATTTTACTTATTTATTTATTTTTATGTGGTGCTGAGGATCGAACCCAGCACTTTGCATATGCTAGGCATGCACTTTACTGCTGAGCCACTACTCCAGACCTATTAGATTTCTTATCTGGGATACTTTTTAGAAGAGTTGAAGAATTAAGTGCTTTCCCAAAATCTAGTGTATACCTAGCATATAATATTTATCCTTAGAAAATATGAGAACTCAAATCATTACCCTTGATAGTCTTTGGGGGAATATTATTAACCAAGTCTAAAAGATGAAGCAAGATATATCTATTCTTCTGTGAAATAATTACTGAGGGCCAATAATTCACTGTTATCCAAGCAGATATGAAGTTCTTTCTGTTTATTATTGTGGTTGCTGGAAAAATGAGCTTGTTTAAGTTATTAGACTGAAGTTAAATTTAACTCCTGATCATTTTTCTACAATATTCACTTTTAGAAATCACCTTTACTACAAAACAAAATAAATGAACTCTAATTAATCGCTTGACATAAACCTTAATAACTTAAAATGCCTAAAAAATCTGACCTAAAATTAACTTAACCAAATATTAACAGGTTTGAAGGGTATAACAGAAATCCAATAAGGTTCATTATAAATAATGGACCAAACATAGTAGATCAGTTAAGCACCAAAGATATAAGCTCCCAAATATGGAAGTGTAATTAAACCTTACAGGGCATCATCTCATCTTCTTTCAATCCTTCCTACTAAATTTCCATCAAGTGTATTCAAATTATTCTAAAATGAGAACAATTAAGAAACTTTTACCAAAAAAACATGACTACTAAATAATGACTGTTTTGGATAAGGACCCTCCTTGAGGTCAATTCAGGATTCAACAGAAATCACTAACCACTTCCTCTAACACAGCCAAGGAATTTTCTTTCTTTTACTTTAAATCACTTTCTGTTACCAAATGGTCAGATTGCATTTTCTAGCATTAGTGATTCATTCTGTTAACTCTCATTCATTAAAAAAAAAACTGTACCAATTAATATTTTCTATTACCTTGTAAAATAACTAAACAACAATAACAAAATCCACTGGCTTACCATTTTCCTTCTTCATTTTCATATTGTTGAACTGTGTATCCAAACATATCTTCCACGGGGCCACTGAAATTCATTGCATTTTTCACATCAACATTGAATGATACGCAGAAGCCTAGAACAACTTTAAGAGGGAAAACAAAATTAAGTTACACAACGTTCGCTAAGATCTCATCGTGTTTTGAATTATGGAAGGCATTCTTGAGGTTACCACTGAAGGCTGTTTTCTTATTAAAAAAGAGCAGGGAAGCTCAAAGAATGAGAACTTCGAGGAAGATCCTGATTTTAACTGTATTACCAACTAAAAATCAATACGATGGCTTTAAAAAAGACAAGTATTAACATGCAGACAAAATTCCAGAGCAATTTAGTATCTGTACCATTTCCAGAGATAATAATTTTAAAAATGTGTTGGATAGTCTCAGAAACTCAGAATGATTAGTGCAGTTGCAGATAATTTTCCAGTAGTGAGCCTGACAGAGAATCTCAGCCACTGGTGAACTACACGCAGCCTCATTTCCCTGTTTCAACCACAGAATAGTTGACTTAAAGCCTCACAGGAAGAAGATTTCTCCTTGCTGCTTCTAAAAGGAAAGGCAAGCTGTCTGTATCCATCAAGGGATAGCTTCCCACATAGGCCTGAGATGAGTTGTTTCCCTTCCTTAATCAAGGTGTGGGTAGAAGCTTGCACACTGTAGATTGAAAGATATCATGTTGAAGCAGGAAGGCTGACGGCTGACACCTCCTTATAATGTTGCTGCTCATAACCTCACAAGTGGCTGTCCGGATTGAGTTAGATGATATATACAAAAGTTTACTCAATGCCTGGCACCTTCTATATATTCAATGAGAAATAATTCTCCTCAATTTTCTTGTAGTCTAGGTAGTGGGAAATCCTTTAATAAATGAGACTGTCTCCTAAAGGGGTTCTGGAATCGTATACACAAATTGATGATGCCAAATTCCTCATTGGGTGCTGGTTTATAATGTGTACTCAAAAATTTCCCAAGTATTCCCCTCCTGGTTATAACTAAGAACTCTTTGCAAAAAGCACACTGCCTTATAAATCACAGCACATCAAAGGATATATTTGGAGGTAAAAATTCAGTTTCCTTTGTCAAAACCATACAGCCACAGGGATTCTGAAATATTCTCTCTCACAGTCTTACAGATTCTGAGTGGATTTAGTCACTCCAATCTTATAACCCTTACTATAAACTTCCCCATAAATACAGTCTAAATCTAGACTATTCTAATTTCTAATCTTCAAATTTTTGTAACAATAATAAGTGATTATGTGATGCACAGGATTCTGAGTTAACCTAGAAAAAATTTATTCTTCAAGGAAATGAACAAAAAAAGATATTTATCATTGCGTAGATCTATTTATAAAGTATTCCTTGATCTCCTCTATTTAGAAGTAATCTTTTTTCTAACTACTCAAACCTTTTCTTTTCTTTTTTTTAAAGAAAACTCTGAGAAGTAGCTGTTAAATACTGTCTACACTGTAGTTATCTAAGTGAGTTTCTTTCCTAGATTGAATTGTTCTTAAAAGCAGAGACGATTTTACAAATCTAGCACAGTTCTCTGTACAGACAGGCAATAACATACTTGTAGACTGAAAGATAACCTGCTGAAGGAGACAGCGTTCCCACTGTAGTTGGAGATGAACTGGCTGCAATTCCATCCTAGTTAAAGAATACTTTTCAAATAGATTTTTAAGGGGAGAGACAGATGAGATTTGGCAGCTGAAAAAAAAAATACATATCGATGATTTGAGAGGGTCTCTGCAAGTAGCAAGACACAGGACAGGACAAATATGGTTGCAAGATCATGAAGAGATTTGCCTGGCTGGTGTGAAGAAAAGGAAAATGAGTGGGTGAATAGCACACGTCCTTTTATGTACATTTCCTGCTCATTCTTCCAGAGTAATGAAGAACAGCTGGTTACTGTCTTCTGTATAATTATCTTTCATATATTTGAAGTTTGTTTTAAACACCACATACTCTCTATTCCAAGCTAAACAGTATATGCGCACAGGTTAATTTTTTGAACAATCTCAACACATTTTTTATATGAGAAACATACAAAATAGGATTTCTACAGCAGGGTCACTCCATTTTGACACTATTGACACTAGGGGTCAGAAAATTATTTGTCAAGAGGGGTTCATCCTGGGTTGAGGGGTGTTTAGCGGTATCTCTGGTCCCTATGCACATGATGTCAGTATCACTGCCTGAGTTGCCACAGTCAAAAATGTCTTTAGGACACTGAAAATTGCTCTATTGCCAAAATCGCCCTCATCCGAAAACAAGCATTTAACACATAAAGATCAGAACACCATCACCAATTACTTTGTTAAAGAAGGTGACCGAACCCCAACTAAGGACCACAGATCAGTAGCTTCTGCCTTGTCTAGGAGCTTGCAAGGACTGTAGAATCTCAGGCCCCACCCAGACTGCCTCAATCAGCATCTCTTCCCCAACAAGATCCCTGGAGAACCATATTCCTATTGGAGTCTGAGAAGCACAGGTCTATAACACGTTACTTCTTTTTTCCCCCACAATTTCCATGCAGGTAATGAAATTTACCTAAATTGAAGGTGCTCAACAGGATTTAGGCAAAAGGGGGACAGAGTTCTCCTAACTTAGGGTCCACTTCACTTTGTGAAAGTATTTTTCCAAAGCATCCTTACCTTTAGTAAATGCTCTCCCAAAGCCCATTCTTGTTACTTCCTTAGTGTAAGACCAAGAGCTTGTGGTTTCCTTTTGGGGCCTGTTTATTCTACATGTTGTATGGAATGTCTGGGGGTGTTTGCTGCACTTTTAAAAAATTTCCTGTCCTTAGAATTCTACAGGCCATTTGCCTGAAGTGATTGTAAATCAGTCTCTTTCATGTTTTCTGAGGCACCAAGGAGCCTGAAGCACAGGAGATGACATTAAAAAATAGTTTACATCTTGTTCTTTTGTTTTAAAGGAGTGAGTAAACAGTAAAATCAGCTTCTCATAACTTTGAGTTCAACATTCATTTGGGAACTTAGAACTTTATGTACCAGAAATAAAGCAAAATCATATTTATTCTCAACCAAAGCAAAAAACCAAAAACCAAAACCAAAACAGACTGGTGTGTTTTAAGGAGCTACATAGGGAAAATAGGAAAATAGCTACATTTTCAATACCTATTGAATATTTACGGAAAATGATGGAAAATAAAACAGACAATTATCAGATATCAAAAGTATATTCTGATTTTACATGTATCATCAAGAGAAGTTTTCTCCTTAAGAATAACAACAACTGTATTGTGTAACTTATGTGGTATTCTTTATTCATCCCATTAAATTTTCCAACAATCCTACAATCAAAAACAATTATTTTCATCATTATATGGATGAGAAGAAGAAAGCTCAAGAAAACCAAAAAATTTTCCCACATTTCCACAGGATTCCAAAATCCAAAGCATTAATCACCATTCACATTGAGTCAGTTTTTATATCTTGTCCTTAAAACTGGAAAGTGCTAGGGAAAGGTGACAAGACGCGGGGTTTAGAAGAGAGGTACATGTAATGAATTGGGATGCGTCTATGTAATTCCATCTTTTCCGAGGCAAATTTGAGGAGGAGGCTTTTCTTCACTGGTGATAGGCTGGGGAGGATTTGGGGAATGAGTTGGCTAAGAAGTTATGGCTACAGAGCTCAGCTAAAGCTTCTTGAGGGTTTCAGTTAAAACATACATTTAGGCAGAAAGAAATTAAAATACTTGCTCCTGTTCAAATAAGGTTATAAGAGGATTAAAAGAGAAGAAGAAGATATGATTGTGGATGTTAAAGAGTTCCTATGTAAAATAAATTATTTTATATAATCTTTTCCCCCCAGAATGAAATTTGATATGTAAGACAAATAAGTAGGAGAAAGAAAGGCAGAACATAACCTACAGTTCCAAGGTGTTTCCTTGCTTAAAAACATTTCCATATAAATAATAGTAGTGAACAATTCAATAACCTGTGGAGGTTAGGAATAGAAGTTCAAGTAGGTTGAGTGATTTGTCCAAGGCCAGGCTGCATTGGCAACAGAGGCAGGACTTCACCAATTGGTCTTCTGAGGTCAAACCATGGACTTTCTCTAACTGAAGTGCTATTGAGTTGGTTAAATTAAGGAGGTATTTTATCTCAAAATAATGCTCAAATAGCCCATGACGGCTCATAAGATTTTGGAATATTTGAAGCTAGGCCAGACAAAAAAAGCTGAATGAAGGTGGCAGAATCTGGGCATCTCTGTTGACTCCAGTGGAAGGAAGTTCTCCTTAACTCCTCACATCCCTGATCCAACAAGAGTCACTGTAGCCTGCTTGATTGTCTCTTTGAAGAACAAAATCTGTACTTGAGGAGTTGTCCCAGGATTCTTGCTCTAATAATATTCGGATGGAAATATTTACTAGTTAATGGAACTCTGTACATTGTAAATTTTAAGCCCAATGCAAGAGAGTATCAGATAAATGATGACAAGGGAGCTGTATTAAAATGCTTTTGCTTTATTTCAATATCTGCTTGTGCATGTTTATCCAATCTAGAAATAGAAGTTATGCAATTAATTTTACTTTATTATTTTAATATAGTGAAATGATGATATAAGATTCAGATAGGAGATAATAATAATTGCATTTGAAGAGTGAATTGATGGGGCTGGGGTTGTGGCTTAGCAGTAGAGCACTAGCGTAGCACATGTGAAGCCCTGGATTCGGTCCTCAGCATCACATAAAAATAAATAAAATAAAGGTATTTTTTTTAAAGAGTGAATTGATAGATTTTAGAGTAAATTCCTTGACGATATAGAAAAATGGTGATCTTTGGAGATATATGAACCAGCTATACCATGAATACAACCAAGTCTTTACTCTGATTAGATATATGCCAGATCCTGGAAATACAGTTATAAAGAGACAATCCCCCTGCTTCCACAGAGCTTGTATCCTATCTGGAAAAAAAATAGCAAGTGACTTAACTTCTACAAGCCTCAGTTTATCATACTTAAACCTAGCCAACAAATATCTCCCAGGCATTGGTTACTGTATGAAACACAAATTACGCATGCAGCAACAGAGAATGCCTAATAAATGAGTCAATCAA